TAAATTTAATTAAATAATTAATAAATTTAAAATTAATTTTTATTTTTAATACATAATTATAATAAAAAATATATTTAATATATTTTGAACATATAACTCAAAAATATAAATTAAACAAACTAAATTATAAATTATTACGTCGGTTGTGAGTTTTAGTACGGGCCGTTTCAAATTCACCAATTCCAATCAATTAAAAGGAATAGGCCTCTCTAACTATTTTCGAAATTCCTAATTTCTTTTTTTTTTTCTTTGAAAAAGGAGAAAAGAGCGAAAAATCATTTCCAGTGGGAGGACTTTAATGCTAAAAAAAAGAAAAAACTTTAACGAAAAAGAAAATAGTGGAAAGAAAAAGGGGCTAATCTACACCTAGAAAAGGGAACCTGCGGCAAATGGGCGATGCTTACTTGTGCATGAACCTAAAGCATATCAATTAAGCCTATAAAGCGCCATACCCCACCCACTTGGATTTACACCAAGTTCTAGTTAGGAAACGTACAAAATACGGACGGCCTTTCGAAGCCACAAAACAACCTCTCTTATTTTATTTAGAATTATAATAAAGTTAGTGGAAATTTGAACGCTTGAACAGGGACGCAATGTAAATACATTTTTCTTTAAAAAAAAATCATATTCCATATGATTTAAATCCACAATCTTAAAATTATGAGATCTCATCTATCCGAGTTGATTCAGTCGGTATGGTTCCAACTTCCAACGTCCAATGCAAAATGGTAGTCACAGAGAGAGGGATTGATGTTAGTTGAAGTTAATCACAAAAAAACCTATAATTTTGTTATAATTTTATATGACCTTAATAAATTATGAAAAAATACATATTAATTTTGATTTTTAAAATAAATTAAATTTTAAATTTTAAATTATGTTATTTTATTTAATTTAAAATTTAAAAATTTATTTAATTAAATATTAATATTTATATCTAAAAATTAATTATATTAAAATATATAATTCATTTTTAAATTTAAGTATCGATTTTTAATATAATAAAATTTTAAATTAAAATTTTAAATTAAAAAAAAAAATTAAAACGGATAGACATTCATCTTATAAATTGTTGCGTGAAAGTAATAGAAACAGCCCACATGTGCCCATTGTTTTGGTTTTCTCTTTTAGTCCAATTTTTTAAAATCCCCAACGGTTTTTGGTCCCAACAACTTAAAAGAGCGGTTAGTTATAATTGTAATAACAGCAGTTAAATTCTCCCAAAAATTCTACTATAAATCTCCCCTCCCCTCCCCCATTTCCTCCGCTCAACCCGCTCAGAAACTCACCTCTTCTTTCAATATTCTAGTCCTAATGTAAATCTCTTCTCCTTTCACATTTTCCTCTGAAGTCTCAATGTACTTTTTTATGTTACAAAAAAACAAGAAAATACTCAATATGCTCATTTCTTGTCTCCGCAGGAAAATGGCTCTCGCCGGAGTTTTCTTTGTGGGTTTTCTTGCAATGGTCTCCACCGTTCATGGGTACAGCGGTGGTGGGTGGACTAATGCACACGCCACCTTCTACGGCGGGGGTGACGCTTCCGGCACAATGGGTACGCAAAAATGGACCAAACCAACAAATCCCTATGTTGTATAAATATTAAAACCCAACTGACCAAATTGGCTCATGATGAAATTTGGTTTTCAGGTGGAGCTTGTGGTTATGGAAACCTGTACAGCCAGGGGTACGGCACAAACACTGCAGCTCTGAGCACTGCTCTGTTCAACAATGGCCTGAGCTGCGGGTCGTGCTATGAGATTAAGTGTGTGAATGACCGCCAATGGTGCCTGCCGGGCTCCATTCTGGTCACAGCCACCAACTTCTGCCCACCAAACAACGCCCTCCCCAACAATGCCGGCGGCTGGTGCAACCCTCCCCTAGAACACTTTGACCTCTCTCAGCCTGTTTTCCAACACATTGCCCAATACAGAGCTGGAATTGTCCCTGTTGCTTACAGAAGGTACCCTCAATTTGAACAGTTTTTTAAAAAAATTTAATTTGTGAACTTCTATGTGAAAAGAGATGCAAGTGTCAATTTTGGCGGTATGAGCAGGGCTTTTAGTCTTCACCTTTTCCTTTGGTTAATTTTGTGTTTTGGAGAGGTAATTACGGTCAAAACAGTGTTGTAACATCAATTGCCTTGGTGGGGTTTGTGTAGGGTACCCTGTAAAAGAAATGGAGGCATCAGGTTTACCATCAACGGCCACTCCTACTTTAACTTGGTTCTTATCACCAACGTGGGTGGGGCCGGTGACGTCCACTCCGTGTCCATCAAGGGATCCAGAACCGGCTGGCAGCAAATGTCAAGGAACTGGGGCCAGAATTGGCAGAGCAACACCTATCTCAACGGCCAGAGCCTCTCGTTCAAGGTAACCACAAGCGACGGCCAGACCGTGGTGTCCAACAATGTTGCCCCCGCCGGGTGGTCTTTCGGCCAGACCTTCACCGGCGTCCAATTCCGCTAGATAGAATCAGTATTAGCGTGAATTTTGAATTTAGCATACCAAGGGTAAAATTGTATACTATAGTTTATGGAGTCAATACCTCCTTTTTCTTTTTGGTCAAGATGAGAAAGGGCTTATTTTAAAATGGTGCTGTCTCATTTTGATCTAGTTTTATATTTTATATATAGTTTATTGTATTAATGGGTGAATTCTGTTTTCTGATTTGCTGCTTGTATAATTTTTCCTTCTGCTTCGGAAAAGGAGAGGCAGAGGTGGACGCTTACCACCCGCCAGTACTAGTAACTCCATTAGCCTTTTTTTTTTTTTTTTGGGTGGGGGGCCTTTGAGGATGCTATTATGCTAAGGAGAATTAATTGATTTGGATCTGTACCGGCTTTTTTCACCCGCTGAAAAATGTCCATCGCTGTTATTTTTATGAGTAAAAGTGTAAACATTCCCAATTTCCACTAGTAATCGAAGGAAAGTTTCTAATTTACTATTTGGTATGGTGTTTTGGTCCTGTTTTTATGACCAAAATACTGGATGATAATACACGAATTAGACTCCCAGAATTTGAACTTGAAGGATGAAAAATTCTTAATTTGGGCGAAGCATATCCCAAGAATTGCTCTAGCCTTAGCCAATTTGTTTAATCATAGTATGGTAGCATTTATATTAATAAAGAGTAGTGACAGATTATAAAATTTGAGATCATTGCTGGGAGATAAGTGATATTATTAAATAAATTAATATATATAATATTATAAATTTTAATAAAATAAAAAATAAATTATTTAATAATATAAATTTTAATTTTTAATATTGTAAATAATATAATTAATGTAATATAATTGATACTAAATTTTAGTTTATAAAATTAATTCTTTTATCATAATTCATTAATAAAAAGAGCGGCAGAGGATGAGGACTCATCCCCATGTGTAAATATTCGCAAATAAACGAGTATTAAACTTGAAACTTGGTTTGTCAAAAAATTGTGTATTGCAGGAAATTGATAGCCACCCCTTCCCTAGCTGATCCCCTCTTTCCTTTCCCCCTTTTATTGCCTGCCTTCTAGCTCCATCCTTCCCCGCTGTTCTACTCCCCCTCTCCAGATTCTTTGGGTTGTTGTCGCATAGGTTAGGCTGCCTTCGATTAATTAGAGGCTCCTTCCCCCTGCGCGTGCTCCTATCCTATCGTTGTGTAGGTTTAGTTCTCTCCTAATGGCAACGAGGGGGCAGATTGGGTCCCGATGGGTTCTTCTTGTGAACTCAGTGGAGGCTATGATCCAAGGATTGGTACCTTAAGTTTGCTTTTTGCTTTTCCAGATAATCCTAAAAGGAAGTCTTATCAGTAAGTGTGGTTGCGAGATCTAATTCCCAAATAGTTTTTTTTTTTTTTCTTGAACTTAGGCTATTAGTATATGTATTACACTACTATTTGGTTTGCTCCGTGTCTAGATTTGTTCCCTCTCATTCTGCTAGTGCTGGATATTGAATCAATCTTGAACTCCAATGTTTTTAGGTATTTTTAACTGAAATAATTCAGAAAGAAATCTATCACTTTTGGACTAAGGTTTATAAGCCCTACAAAATTTAAGTTATTAGTAATAATTAATCATAATAATTAAGAATTAATCATGCTCAAGTTTCTATACTAATATGAAATTCAGGACATAATAGTAACTGTTATCAGTAATTTATGGTCATAATGATATTGTGGGCAATTCACAACCTTAAAAATATTCGGTCTCAACCCAAAGGTCTTTCACCATTAAACCCCTCATTAATACTAAAGGATTGAGAGTGTGAAGGAGTTTAAGGTAGGGTAAACTTATTTCTTATCATATAACCATCATCTAGTGATGATATTAATGATATCTTTTCATAAAAAGAAAAAGGAAAACTTTGATATTGTTTTGTAAAAATAAAGAAAATAAAAACCTACTTGTTAAAAACGGATTTTATGAACTTCACCTGGCGACAAACAAATTAAAATCCCGAACAAAGTCATCACAATATTTTGTGTCTGTATTGTACTTTCATTGTGTTAATTGGTGCTGGTCAAGAAAACAGGGATGATATTTCATATCAGTATTCAGTATTCTCTGCTACCTAACTTGTCTTCTACCTCTGCGTCTCTTTCAGAATTGATTTTCACCAAAGATTCAAATCTGCTGAGTAACGTGACTGCTGATTCAGAAGAATATATACGTGTTTGTTCTTTACACAATCATCTCGGAATCACAAGGTAAAAAATCTATACAATAGTGATGCATGTTCAAATATTAATGCAAATTTGTCAAGATTATATATGGACACAACTACACAAGTTGCAAGCAGGACTTCGTATATCCAGGAAGAAATTAAAGTTGGTCAGATTTGGGAATTTTGTGTTTTAGCCTTTTAGGGTGAAGGTATGATAATAAGCAATTAATTATTCAGAGTTTCTTAAAGGGTTTTACACAATAAATGATGAATTGTTGCCGTATAAATATATTCTGAGTCTGTGATTCAACTGCTCCTTGTGAGAATTTATGTAAATTGAACTTTCAAGTAAAATAAAGGAGATTTTGTTTGAAAATCGAGAAGATTCTCTGAAATTTCATCGAAATTTTGTCAATTTGTGTGGAAGAAGAGGGGCTCTTATTGCTTTTTTTTTTTTTTTTTAACATGGAAGAATTGGAGAAATGGGGAAATTTTTTTCAAGTAAATAGTAAGAATATAAATTTTTTTGGGTGAATTGTTTACAATTTGGGGAAGGGATTTTTCAAGACGTTAATAAGATTCAAAACTCTGATCAACTAATTCAAGTACTTTAAAATTTTCGGGTAAACTATTTAAACTTGAAAATTTGATTTGTAGGAATAAAATTTTAAACCATTTAAATCTAAATCTTTAAATTTAGTGGTGAATTATATCGTCTAATGGGCTACTTGTATCGCTCAAATGATCATTAATAATTGGGAAAATCCGTATATTGCATGGGCTATTCATTTTTTCTTTTTGATAAATTTACATGGGTCATTCACTCGCAGCCAGTAGGATGCCCTTAGTCCTTGTACCGAACTACCCCCCCTTTTTCTCCCAAAAAAAAAAACCCCTTGTTTTTACCCATAAAAGATGTCTTTGTTCTTTTTATTTTTGTTAAAACATCATTTTGATCCTTCAATTTTTGTATAGAGTCTCTTTTTAATCCCTCAACTAAAGAAATCCTCTCTTTTATCCCTAAAGTTTAGTTTTTTTGATCCATTTTTTGTTATTCCATTAGGTTTCGGATGATGCAGCACATTTAGTAAAGGGATTGCGTAATTTCTTCTTCATATAAATGACGTGGTAAATCTAATTGTAAAAAATGATGATTTAGCATCTTAGGTAAACATTAAACATGACGTGTAATCATTTAGATTAGTTTTTGTTTTAATCAATTTTTTTTTTATATATTTTAAAGGAATTTTTTAAGCTCTTTAATTATTATTCATTAATTTTTATTATTAAAAAACTAAAAATTACTTAAATAAATAAATAATCTCCTAAAAATAAATAATTTTTTTAAAAAAAAAAAATTGAGAAATGATTAAAAAATTAATATAAAAAGTTTTTAAATCAAATTTTTTAGTTAGACTTATCTAAATTATTGGTTTTTAAAAAATAAATAA